GCTCCTGTTGTTTCTGCCGCCGCTTAGGCGCGCAGGTCGATCACCACGACACTGTTTTGCGTATGCTTCTACGACCGAGTTTCACCCTCTCACGCCTTGTCTATGCTCTCTTTAATAATGCGGCACACATGGTAGCCGTCTTCGCCTCTGTTTTGCTTTTTTACACCCTCCTGATTCTACCTATAACCTTTGCTCTAGCTTTTGGCCTCTGTGCTTGTGGATTGAGTGAATGGAATGATATGATATTGAATGCATATGTGCTGGAAAATGAATCGGATGAGGGATGACTATGAGGAATAGATGACGGGATCAGATTCAAGTGGAGGTGTCTGGGTCGGATGTTTCTGATATTTCAGCTGTTCTTCTACCCTGTCACTTACCTCGTCTCTCACTATGGCTACTTCTAGCAGAATCTTCCGAGCCCTTCCGGTGATGAGCAGGGCCGCTGGGCCATCTAAATTGGCAGCAGTGGCTCAGCGTACTCATTGTTTCGGGGCGCAGAGATCTCTGTCGACCTCGAGGGTCTCTTTCGCTGAGGTCAAGGCTGGACCTGCGATCTCCCAAACTAACCGTGAGTGTTGATGGTAGCATCGAGGTGAGAGGCTGATGAAAAGGAGCCGAGATGACTCTTCGGAGGTTCTGGAAAAACGTGCATGTCAAAGAGGACGAAAGTGGTGAGTGGCCATCGCAGGTTCTATCGCAGAGCGGTTGCTTTCGTGCGCAATGACGAGGAGCATGCTGAAACATTAGGTAATTACCTGGTGACGCTGGACAAGAGGAACCTCAAGACTCCGTCCGGGACTAAGCTGGTGATCCCGAGGGAGAAGAGAGTCATGGCCGCGTTGATTGCCAATGAATGGGAGAACCAAGACGAGGTTTTGAAACAGCATGCCTTGCCGCTGGTAAGTGGGATTTGATCGCCCCTCTTCCCCGTATTTCTCCGTTCCATGGGCCACGCGTGGTACACTCCGACCGAGAAGCTCACGCGATAGACGTCGCTCGCCTCCAGGGCGTTAGACGGGATGAACGATGCGACAATCCGGGCAGGCGTCATCGACGCACTGTTCAAGTACTTCGAGACGGACACAATCTTGTGAGTCACCTCATTGCCCTGATTCATGTATTTCCGCACCTGGATACTCGATCCTCAGAGACTAAGGTCAGGTTCCCTGATGAGAAGCCGAGAGCGCTTGTGCGGATGCAGAAAGAGCACTGGGATCCGCTGTTCGCCTGGGCGGAGAAAGAGCTGGGTGTCAAGCTCAAGCTTGCCGATGGTTTCGCCCCTGCGCAACAGGACCAAGAGTCAATAGATAAACTGCGTCAGATCGTGGAAGGTTTCGACATCTGGCAGCTGGCCGGTAGGTCTCGAGCCAAGCTTTCTGAAAGCCCATTAACCATTCAGCATTCGAGAGGGCAGTGTACGCTTCAAAATCGTTCATGATTGGCCTGGCGCTCGTACAGGGCCGTTTGAGCGCCGACGATGCTGCTCACGCCGCTCAAGTAGAGGTCAGGAGTCAGATTGAGCAATGGGGAGAGGTCGAAGATTGTACGTTGGGCTGCATTCTTTGTGCGCTATCACAGACGCCATGCTGACGGAGTAGCGCATGATGTCGACTACCAAGACATTCGACGTGCACTGGGCAGTGTCGCTTGCGCCTTGGTATCATTATAAGATGCATCGTGATAGCTAGTCTGTAAATGTGCTCATGGACTGCCAAGTGTCACCTCCGTGTCCTCCCCCGCTCCACTTCCAGTTGCTTGTCGCTGACAGGCAATCCCCCTTCCCCTCTCTCTTCTCTCGCCTCCTCCACACCTCTCTGCATACGAGCCTCGACCTGATCGATCGACATGCCGCATGCGCAATTTTGGAAGCCGGAGCCAGCAGGCATGGTACCTTGCGAGCACATTCTGCATCGCCCGCTGGGATCGCCGACGATTTTTGGGTCGTGATCGTGTCTCGGATGCGGCGCGAGACCAGGCGGGCACTTTGTGCAGATCTTGTCAGATGGACGCACTCCGCAAACGGGGCAAGCAGGGTTGATTGTTTTGCTGAAAAAGGATGATTGGTTACTGCACTCCTCGTACGACGGGAGGTTGACGTGATGGTGCACGATGATGCACTAGAGGCTCAGCCAATCTCGCGAGGTCATCGGGTAGTAATACGCACGGAGGGAACAACGACAGGACGTTGAATTTTGAGCAATCGTGACCCACCGGGCGCCGGATACTTCATCGGTCGTCCGGCCTGATCTTGGCCAAAGATCGAAAAGAACAACTCGACCTGCAACGCGTGTGTCACCTTAATGGGCGTATTCACACCTGCCAGGGTCGATGGCCGCCCGTTGTCATCATTAGGTAAACGGCCCTTGACTTCGATATCCAGGTCACCTGCGTCCTTGCCCCCAGCCTCTGTTCCTCGCCATAACGTCGGCCAGTCGCGTTTGGGGTGCGGGTTTTCGCTCGGAGGGCGACGACCATGTTCCGCGATTACAAATGTCCGTTTTGACACCACAGGCTCCGTAGTCGCAGGGTCGTCGCGCGGAGACACGATCGAGTTTGTCTGCACGAGGGACACTCGGACAGAGAATATTGATGCGAGAGGGGAGATTGAAGCGAGGTGAAACTGGCATCGGAGGATGGCGCAAATTGTCCACTAAGGTCAGCTTGGACTATAAGGTGTACTCACGGGGTTGGATTGTAGCTTGAGGTCCCAGACACCGAGTTGATCCGCTACGCCATTGAGTCGAAGATCCAACATGTTGACCTCTCCGGTCGGGCTAGGGTTGTACACCAAGATCAACGTTCGCTCCGCCCTGTATGTCCCCTTGAGCCAATCCTCCTCAGCTGTCGGCGTGGTGGACCCGGAAGAGCTATGATTCGATGCAGCAGTCGAGTCGGCATATGACGGGGCTTTGCCTTTGCCTTCCAGGCTGAGGGTGCCTATCGTTTTCTCCAACAACGCCGCGTCCAGCAACTTCGCCGGTGCAGGCGAGTTCGACCTAGACCTCGATGGACTGGCGGTGTGTCTGGGTGATCGCTGTCCTGAAGGGGATTTGCTTCCTGGCCCATGAGACCTTGAGCGGAAAGAGAGGAAGCCAGAGCTGGGCGCCTTGGGCAGGCCCTCTATTTCAGCGTATAGGAAGTGTCGCAGCGTGCCGTTGTTGTGCCAGTCGTGCGGCGGGTGGTTGGCTGGGATGATGAGGTTAAAGTCGAATATTGTCGTTCCCTCTTGCAGCCAGCATTGACACGAGTCGCTCTCCGCGAGCTCCACCTCCCGTTCAAACAGTACATCCTCTTCGTTCATCCGTCCAGGACGCAGGTCGAGCTTGAGGACACTCTTGATCCCGACCTTAATCCACTTCACGCGCCGTCGGCCGAGATTACTTGGCATGGTGATCACGAGCTCTCCGTGGACAATGACATCGTTGCGAGGCGTCTCCGTTTCTGTCGAAGGTGTCAAGGGGTCCTCTGGGGTGTTCATGAAAACGACGCCATACGCTGGAATATCGAGGACGAGCGATGGCACGCCAGGCGCCTTGGCCGAAGGTCCTGGTCTCGAAGGTCCATAGGGGTCTTTCGATGAGTTTAATAGTCGCAGGACAGACATGTCGCACGCCAAATGACATGGAGAAAAGGGGAGAAAATCCATACGTTTGATCGCTTCAGCGTCCGGATTGTCGGACCATGCTGGGACCGGCCTTGTGGAGGGAGCCCAACCGAAAGGGTCTCTTCCGCCCGGATCCGAGACCGAGACGGCTTCAAGTTCTCTACACCGTGGCATGCTCAATCAGTCTGGATGCGCGATTTCTCGACATGATCATTGGTGGCTGTTCGCTGTGCCATGCAAAGCGCATTGGACGGGATGCCCTGTCGAGAAACACTGCAAAGCATGCTCCTGCAGATGCACTGGAAGTCGTAACGTCGTAAATCAACACCATTGGCCCTGAAAACGACGACACCGTGCTAGGCCCCTCAGAAGGCGACCGGGGATCCGCACCAGATCGAAAGCTAAAAAAAAATAAAAAGATGTGCTTCCACCCCGGATCGAACGGGGGACCTTTCGATTGCGATGACTGAAAATCTTCAGTCGAATGCTCTCCCAATTGAGCTATAGAAGCTAAGAGAACTGATGATAGTTCAGGTAAAAGCAGATCTATATCCCCAAAACGATTCCGGGCTGCTTTTATGCTGCACATGCCATCGGCCTCGGACCGTATGTCGCGGTAAGGCTCGATGATCAGACTTCGCGCTCAATGCTGCGGTACCAGCGATACATTCGCGAGACTTCTTTATCGGGACCGTCACGCGCTGGAATACACCAGTATAGCCCGTGATTTAGCGAAGCATGGTCATCCATTTTAGGCAACTGAGCTGCTGCCCTAGGTGGCCCAGGTATGCGAGTGTCGGCTGGCCCTGGAATACTCTGTCCCCTCGTCACGTCCTCGTCTCATATCTCTCCGCCCGCGGGGCCTGTCATGTTTGCGCTATGTAAACCCCGACATAGACTGCTGACCTATGAGGCGAAAGGGAACGAAGTGATCGGCATTCAATGGGGGCACTTCGACGGTCGGTGGTCAAATTGCCTAATGGAGAGAAGGAGAAACTGAAGATCGGTGGTAGAGGCAATCTGACAAGACTCGACCCTGCCTAGTGAATCCCCGCCCGCTGCCTCGGCAACTGATTTCAGTATGCGCATCGGCAGGTCAATCTTTCGAGGCTTTGGCTTGTGCATTGTCAGTTACCAGGTGTTGCTGGCATCGTTGAGAAGGTGACATTATCGCGTCAAGCGCGATTCAATTGTTATCCAAGCGCACCTATCGAAGAAAGCTAGGGCTGGGTGACAGAGGCACAGCCATCGGGAGCAGCTGACACGACCCGCTCATGAGACATATGCTGTAACTTGAGGTTCTTGACAAGTTCAGGCGCGGAGGGTACCTGGATGGGAATCGAACAACGTGAATATTTGAATGCAACTGTCCCAGGAAAACATCCAAAGATTCGCTTCTATAGCTCAATTGGGAGAGCATTCGACTGAAGATATTCAGTCATCGCAATCGAAAGGTCCCCCGTTCGATCCGGGGTGGAAGCACATCTTTTTTGGGTCCAAAAAGCATTCATTCTTGTTTCTTTTTGACGTCCTTTTCTCCCGGGCTCATCGCACTCGCTCTGTCAACCACATCATCACCACTGTGTTCAGACACCTGTTGCTGGAAGCTCTTCTACTAGCCGGGGCTACGCTGAATCGATGCCGGTACCGGTTCGTTCACTTGTGTCAGTGATCCGAAACGTGTGAGTGACGACGGTTCATCATCTGAAGGGAAGTTCAGATACGCGATTCAGCGGTATCTCAGTCTCAGCAAGTTATTGCTGTGCTTAGGCATTGTTGGTGATCCAGGTCAAAATACGCAAAAATGTTCAACCACAGGGTCTGGTCGTACAAGCACCCTCGTTATCGGAGCTTTGCAATCCGAAAGGAATGCATTGACAATATATACGTTACAGAAACGAGACCCAACCAATCGTAGATGTCTCACGCCTATACACAGCGCCGCTCCCAGATGACCGCCAGTCTTCACTACCGGCGAGATGGGCATCTCTAGCGGGGTCCCGGTATCATGGGTATACTCTTCGAACAAATATCACACTCCAATGTCCATTCGTCTCGCACGCGTGCCCCCGCACAAACATTCCTCGGGCACACCCATTGTTACCACAGCGTTTGCGTGTGCAGCTCTTCGTGGTCGCTCGCTTCATCCTCACTGCTGCGATCTCGCTTCAGGTTCTTGTTCTCCCAGTGGCCAGAGATAAGTGCCGTGTCCATCGGGGTGGCGTGGGTGAGTGCCGTCAGAGGGGACGTGCCCGTGGTGGCTCCCATCGAGTTCGAGGACAAGGGCATCGTCACCGTCATGGCCACTTGATCCTCTCCGTACATGGGAGGTGCCGAGTCGTACGAGTAGTTCATCATGGGCGCGGCGGTAGGAGTGAACCCGTCGGGCTCGCCCATGGTGACCGAGAACGAGCGAGAAGAAGACGGCATCGCCGAAGAGCGGCGGCTGGGCAACGGTTTGACCTGTCGCCCGGGGTAGGCGGCGGGGGCGCGGTGCTGGGGGTAATGGCCCGGGGGAGGTGTAGGAAGGGTAAGAGTGACGTGGGCCAAATCTCCAGCTGGGTCATTCTGGGTCATTCCCACGCGCCACTCGATCATGCCCTGTTCGATTGGCTGCCACTTGTTCTTGCCGACATTCCTGTACGTCAGACAGCGGACCTGATCATTATTCGCAGACCCACTTGTCCAGGATGTCACGACGCGTATACTTGTAGTTCTCGCATCGCTCGACGACCTTCCTGCGGATGTCGCGAATCGCAATCCGAGTATGATGATCGAGCTCCGGAAAACGGGCTTCCGGCCCATCGTATTTTCGATCACATCGGGCAGTGAACGCGTCGAGCTGGGCGAGCACCCGTCGGCTACGATGGAAGAAGCCTCTGAGCATCTCTGCCTTCTCGATCGGGGTGACAGTGGAAGGGACGGAGCCAATGAGAGGAACAGACTCGGAGTTGATGGTGAGATCGTTGTTGAGCGTATAGTAGAACAACGGGAAGAGATGGGGGATCTCCGGGTAGACCTGCAGGAGTCCATAGAGTGAGAGCTCTCCTCGTCGAGAGTGCTGGATATAAGCTGAGTCAAGAGGCTTGCCAAGGAATGCGCTGACCTTGTTGGTACGGCTCGCTTTGCGCCCTCCGATGCCCCGTCGCATACCTTTAGCTCGTTTAGGGAGGCGGAACTCGTCTTCGTCTCCATCGTCTTCTCCTTCCTGCTCAGACTGATACTCTTCCTCGCTTTCCTCTTCGATCTGCCCGTCGTCGAGGTTTGCGTACGAGACGTTGCGATACTGCGAAGCAATGCGGGGGGACGCCCGAACTGCAAATTAGCGACGGCTTCGACCGTACTTCAGCCTGAGACACTCACCAGGAGTTCCGGAGGAGACCCTTCGCTTCACGGGAGTCACAGGACCCCTACGCGTGCGTTCATTGCCTGATGAACTGACATTTCGCGAACGCATGTACTGTCCCTCAATTCGGAACATTCCCCCGGCACGCAAGAGACAGGAGACGTACCTGGCCCTCTTCACCGAGCCCCACTTCCTCCAGAAGTTTCTTGTTGTTCAAGATTTGCTGAGCACGCTCCCTTTCGTAATCGGTCTCGCTGTTGTACCCGAAAACGTCGAGTTTCCCACGCTCAGCGGAAGTGGCGAAATCGTTGCCCCATGCCCTTGAGGGATTGGCGTAGAGGCCCATATTGGGCTGGGGATGGGGAGCGAAACCGCTTGCCGTCAAGTGTGGACTGGCCATGTCTAGATGAGGGGAAACGTTATGGGTGTAGTATCGAGAGGAGGGTAATCGTCCTAGAGTATCGGATACTTTGCGAAGCTCTGCCTCGTGTGAGTTCATAGATCCTTCATAATTGGGTGTGAGAAGACGAGGATTGTTATAATCGGGGGGGTCGGAGGCGCCCGAAGTCGAACGGGACATCGAGTAGGAGTTGAAGATGGCGGGATTGACGTGGCGCTCCTCCACATCCGAGAAGTTGAATGAAGGGAATCCGGCGGTCGGGGGAGCTTCGTGGCTGGTCAAATGAGGAGAAGCCGAGTACCTGGACGAGGCAGTCGCCTCACTGGCTGACTGCATAGGATGAGCGTGAGCCACCGTTCGGATCATCGGCTGGGAGGTCCTGACATCGAACAACGGCGTGGATCCCTGGTAAAGGGGAATCGGAGGCGCAGAGTTCGGAAACTGGCCTCCGTTGAACGCGGTATGAGGCGAAGGGAGAGATATGGTATTGGACGGGAAAGGCTTGAAAGGCTGCGAATGGGCCTGAGGGAAAGCGGTGAAAGGATGAGGGGAGCCTTGGTCGATGAGAGGCGAATATCCTCCGTTTGCGGCGGGTGCCAAGTGCAGGGACGCCTGCGATGCGGGTCGAGGACTGTGCGGGGACGCAGCCGGGGACGAATGGATGCCTTGATGACTCTGGGGACGAGGTGGGTCAAAGGTAGAATGAAGGACAGAAGTCATCTTTGCCGTAGTGTGAGCGAGGCCGGAAGGACGACTGGAAGGGAGTCTTGCGGCGGTAAGTAGGTTTGTCGGCACGAATGCTTGTAGCGACCAACGACGAAAGCGCGTGAAGTCAAGCCTGGTGAGCTCGAGGACGATTGTCGAAGCTTGATGAAAGGACAAACACCTCTGGAAAGGTGTTCAGCGATTCAGAGGTAGAAGGGGGAGTGAAGATGAAGGACAGCAGATGGGTCGTCCTTAAAAGGACGGAAAGGGGACTGTGAGATGTGAGCTGTCGACTCGTAGTCTATCGTGTCAGCCCCGAGCACTCGCATCGCCACCTCCTTTCCTCGCTCCACGAAAGAAGCAACTCACAGTCTGTGGAGACATGGAGGAGCCCGCATACGGCGAGAGGAGACGTGGAATGAAAGGAAGAATAGCGGCCCAGGCCGTAAAAGGTGGAGAATACCGCAGGGAAAGGGGGTGGCACCAAGGGGTCCGTTCAAGGGGGTGGCAATCGTACAGGGGGACGAGGAGAGATTTGCGATGGGGTGTTTGGAGAGGTCGGGAGAGACGGCGTGACCATAGCGTTTGATGATGGAACAAATGGAAGGGGGTCGTTTGAGACGAAGGGGGTGGCAAAAGGAGGGCGACGGGTCAGCGCAGGCTCTCCGGGGGGATGCAAGCACATCGAAACATGGTCATATGCCATTGCACGGTAAAAGGACGACAACCGGATGATACGGGGGGCACAGGGGGAGAGACGGGGAAGGAATAGCTGTATCACCATTCGGATGGTCTAGGGATGTCTCCCCCAGAGACTCCAGTGGTGATCCCTATATATCGCACAGAAAGCCATTTCCGGCGTGCGCGATTTGGTCTCGTACCCTGCCCTCCGTTGCAGAGGGATGCACACGATGAGGATAGGTGACTGCGACAGAGGTCCAGGACGCGAGGACTCACGAGATAAAGATGAAGGCCCGACGCGCTCGCGTTGGGTACCGTCGTCGTCTGCAACTGGCGAAGAAGAACTGCCGAGTGATGCCCTCGTGGGCTAGCGAACGGGGAGGAAGGAGGGCTTTGAAGGATGGCAAGGAATGAGAGCTCTAAAGCGAATCGAGAATCGAATTCCAGGAGTTCGCTGGATGTTGTTTGTTGACAGACGTTGGGTTGCGGTACAAGTACGTCCTGAACGGTGTCAACAAGCTGTCGATCGTATGGACGGTGAATCAACAACCCACCTTGTCTTCAATCTCGAGCCAAATACACGATACACCGCTCCTGTCTGTCTCCCCGGAGGCGAAGGGAGGCAGCGAGAGAGCAGAAGCTCGGCTCGAGTCTGAGGAGGAGACCACACGGATTGAAACGATGTATGCGTCTACATGGTGTCAGCCCCGTTCATCATCGTTTAACCCTGTCACGTCTCTGTCCCCTCTGCTCGTGAAGTGTGATGATATGTCTATACGACTGTGGTGGGTACACGGTACACTCACTTGTACTTTGATACCACCTCCAGAACCTAGGGCAGCGTGTGTGATGGGCTTGAAGGGTCCTTTAAAGGCGCGACGAGCTGCCTTTACCGGGTCAATAGGACTGATGAGATCAATCGATGGTAACGGTCCTTTGAAGAAGAGGGATGCACCTGTGGAGGATGCGGAATATAAAGAGATGGACGTGATTAGAATGGGAGGTCAGTTGAGTATGGAGATCAGTGTTAAAATGAGAAGAATCAGAAGGGGGGGTGGGGATGAGAAACGTCTTGTCGTCGAGGAGACGCATACCGAAGCACACCGCATCACGCACCCCCCGCCCAGCACCGCGCACATTCCCCTGTCCGCGTACGGCAAAAGTTTTCCTCCATGGGATCGCGTTGATCGAGAGGATACGCTCCCTCTGCTTAGATCAAACACATTGCCGCCTTGGGTGCCCCAACAAGGCGTGATTGCCTCCCGCCCTGCATGGCGCCCTCATACCAACAGTGTAGTGGACACAAGGCACCCGGTGCCATCCCCGACGTGTACCCTGGATGTCTATGCA